TTATACTGCGCGCGCGCGTGTGTGTCATGTTACGTGTGTGTGTGTGTGTGTGTGTGTGTGTGTGTGTGTGTGTGCGTGCGTGCGTGCGTGCGTGCGTGCGTGCGTGTAGTGAGCATTACGATATATATAACAGCAGCTGTGTAATGGCAGGTTCTACATGCACGCCTCGACGCTGCGAACGAACGTCACAACATGTTCCCCGATGACGTCACGAAGCGCATGTTTTCCAACATGAAAAGCGTGTACCAGCTTCATCACGACTTCGTGTTGCCCCAGCTGGAGCAGAGGATGCAGGAATGGTGAGTGAATGCGGCAAGGAGCACGTGCGGGAATCACAAACTAATGCAGAACAGGACGGTTGACGGGTATATTTCCTTCTAATTCATGAGCCATATCTACTTGACTGGCCCACCAGATAAGCTCTCGTTAAAAATGCCTGCACACCTCTTTGCTGTATTAACGGTAAATATATAGATGCATTTAAGGTATACGATGCATTTAAGGAGACACGTGCAATACCTCAAGGTGACCTCGATCCTTCCCCTGGCCCGTGTTTTCTGTTTAAGATTTGACCCTCCTGCGCTCTGCCCACGCAGTTTGGCATTGCTGTAACCCCCTCTCGTCATTTACCCTTACCATTATTTAACCATTCATTGTCTTCATCTAAGGTTAGGATAAGGTTAAGGTTAACGTTAGGATTAAGGTTAGGTAATTCACTCGGTCTTCATCTAGGGAGAAAGTGAAGCGGATAGGTGACATCATGCTACGGTTCGCGCCCTTCCTGAAGATGTACACAGAGTACGTGAACAACTACGAGATGGCGCAGAAACTCATCAACATATGGCTCGTCAAGTCCAACAGGTTCCGAGCCATCGTCGACGAACTGTCGGTGAGGCTCTCATAGATGGCGCTACTGTCACTGCAGTGTGCACCTCACGCGTTCTGTCCACGTTTCCTATGTATAACTACGTCTATAGCATAGATATATGCTCTCTCTCCATAGCGACAGTCCATACGTTTTCGTCCAGTTATGTCTATAATGAAAATATATAGGTTATATTGAAAGTGAATAAAAGAATTTGCTCGGATATATGGCTATGATTCACCAATCTCTAGAATGAAAATGGATCTCATAGACCCAACCCAAGCAGAACATTCCACTATTTCTTCCATGTCTACAGTAGAGGCTCGCTCTGCTGTATCATAAGAAGTGATTTTTATGAACGTTTCATAAGAAATGATTAAAATGAAGCTCTCAGAATGAACTCTCAGTGGGGTTGAAGTGATTTATACGTTAATTATGTGCCTCGATGACGTTTACATCTTTACAGAAACTTCCTGAATGTGATAACATGTTGATACTGAACCACATGCTGGTGCCAGTGCAACGCGTGCCCAGATATGAGCTGCTACTGAAAGGTAGCTATATAATTATACACACACAAACATAAAAGAGTGCTGATAATGGTAGAGGATATGATGCATAAGTAAAGAAACGGAGTTTGAGGGAGAGAATGGCTATAATAGTCAGTCCTATATGCGAACGCATATATTTGACATCTCGGGTGGGGGGGGGGTATGCCGCTAATAATATGATTATATTTGCAAGTAATTGTAACGATCGAGCAACATCGACTGCATTCGTGTTTTAATCTCGTCGCCTCTCACCATTCATTATTTATAGCGCAGGAAATCTAATTAAATCTAATTTGAAATTGTGATTACATTGTGTGTGGCATTACTGTCACTCCACGACGTGAGATGCGAACAGCTATTAAAATTGGATTTACGTCGTTAAAACCATATTAAAAGTGTGCCGCGGATCCGCGGTGGCCTAGTTGACGTACGTATGAGAACAATGGATGTAGGTGTGACCAAATACCAGTAGTGTGACAATAAAACCAAGTGTGTGCGGTCTTTGAAGTGACCGATAATGTATCAGGGGTGAATATACGCGGTCATATAGTTGAACATTCGCTAACGAGTGTTGGTTATATCCATGCTCACTGACCGGTGAAATTGGATGCGGGGGGATGTGATTATGTATATTTTCGATTAAATTCATTACGACGATGTGGTTTAATGTTGTTTACGTTTCAGAGTATCTGAAAAGGCTGCCAGGTGACTCGGCGGATAGAGCAGATGCAGAAAGTGAGTTATAATAACAACGTGCCCACACTACCACCTTGCGTTCACCCTCCCCCCATCCTGCAGACAAACACATATCTAACCTCCCCGAGCTCTAGGCTTTAATTAAACAAACGTCGTTGGTATTGAGTTTGGCTGCGATGGAGACCATAGACTTAACGGCGTATATTTTATCACTCCGATTCAGAAATCGAATTATATCGCTTCCCAGAGTGTTAAAGATGTCCATGTATACTGCGTCAGCATGTCTGAGTTGATCCTCTTGGATCCCGTCATTGTCGTTGAATGAAGAAAGATTCGCTAGCATCAAAGTTCGGTCTCATAACGAATGTTCAGAACGTCAGTTCGATGTTTTTTTAGTTTATCTGTCCGAAAATACAATTGCTGCCCCTTCGGAGGTTCGTTACATAATTCATTGTTATATGGCTGCGAAAAATGTTTGACGTGCCAAATTAATTCCGCGAAATAACGCCTAAAATTAAAGTCTAACGCGATAAAACGAACCTTTGCAGATAAAACAAGAAAGGCATGTTCATTATTAACGTGCCTTGATGTTGTTTTGTTACAGAGGCGCTGAGCTGTGTATCAGCAGCAGCACATCACATCAACAATGCCATGAGGAAGATCGTGAGTCACCTAACCTTACCTCAAGCATCATAACAACATCGATATTATTCAATACTAGCTTCCTAATCCTAAAATGATAAAAATAATTAAATAATAATAAATAATTAATAATAATAATAAATTTAATTAATTAAATAATAATAAATAATAATTTTTTTTTTTTTTTTAAATATTTATTATTTTTATTTAATTTAATTAATTTTTTAATAATATAATAATAGTAATTTAAGTCCTAGCTTTACTATACTACTAATGTATTACGTATAGCGTAAAGAGATAAAGTGGTTGGTGGACACATTCGTTGGCACCACGTGCTGCTTATAAACCTAAGAGAAATTAGATGAAAGCCACCAAACCTAATGTACATAGCTATGCTAGTGGGTTCCTAATTGAAATATCACTACAATAACTGCTACCTGCTAAACTTGAGAATTGGAGTTTATCATGTCTTCCAACGGTTGCCAGGCAACATCACGCCATGTCATCAGCATCACTCACCAGAAATGTTATCCTGTCGTATCTCACCTATACGTGGCGACACAGGGTAGTCAAGTATTTCACCTTAGATGCTCACTTATTTCTTTTCTTCGCAGCACAAGTTCAAGAAGCTGCTTGAGATCAGAGACCTGCTAGGTGGTGCTGTAGACCTGGTCAGCCCCAGTAGAGAGTTCATCAAGGAAGGACGCCTCGTCAAGATATCAGCACGCAGCGGTGACCACCAGGAGCGCTACCTGTTCTTGGTGAGAATATATATATATATATATATAATATCAGGAGCGTATAATGACAAATATAAGCTCCTGATATACTCATATATATACTCATTATATGCTCCTGATAATATATATATAGCAAATATATATTATGTAGAAAATATATAGCTCTTCGACCGCCCTTCAACGAATTAAGTCGTAGAACACACGTTCCTCTCAACATACGTGTCAGCCTCTTTTCCACAGAGGGCGCCACCAGCTTCATCCGTGGACCTCTCCGTATATTTTCACAGTTCTCGGACATGGCTCTGCTCTGCAGTGAACTGTCCGTGTCGCGGCGTGGAGCCAAGTACAAGGTGCGAGCTCGCCTGCAGGTAGATCAGCTGCAGTGCTTGGAGGGAGACAACCTGGAGATTGAGAACACTCTCTACATAAAGACACAACATGTTAGAGCGATAGAGCTTTTACACACGGTAAAGCGGTTCATTGCGTGCGTGGCGTGCGTGTGTGGCGCACGCGTGGGTGTTGTGTGTGTGCGCGGCGTGTTTGTGCGCTGTGCGTGGTGCATCGCGTGATAGTGTTGTGGGTCTGTATGTATCATGGCGTACATGCATGTGTGGCGTGCGTGGCGTGCAGTCGTGCGTGTTGTGTGTGTGCGTGCGTGGCCGTGTCTATATCTGATTGTTTATTCTCCAGCACGCCAATTTGAGAAGATGCAAGTGATGGAATCCCTCCTCAAGGTCATGTCAGGACTACCAGAGCGAATGGCAATCTCTGTGCCGCATTAGCGAGGAACTGCTGAAGGTCAGAGTTCATCTGCATACTGGCGCTCTAACTCACGTTCGGCTGCTCGTGTCTCCGCGCCCCCTCGGTGCGGGAAAGCAGGCCACGTACGATGCGGATGATATTCTCAGGCAGAATGATTGAAGTTTACGATAGAGAGAGGTAATGCGCGTGTTGTAGATTTGTTCTAGCAGCCATTCACACGCGAAGACACTGATTGCGATAACCTTATGTGAAAAAACACGGAGTAAAACGGCTTCCGCCGATTACTGTAGTAGACAGAATTGCATGCGGAAAAAAGCGGTAGTTGTAAGGGAATTATAAGGAGGATGTGCGCTATTATATAAAAACAAAAAAAAAGGAGAGATGGGCTCGAAGTATTCCTCGGACGGTGGCTGCCCTCTTGCACCGAACATTGGTAAGCTCTTAGCGTTTAGCAGCGTAGTTAGGACGGAAGGCAACATGATGTCAGGTTATAACACGACGCTCTAAGGGCTGCATTGTGATGCCGAGTCTTGTCACGACTTTTCCAGATCGGGATAAAGAGCGTGGGTCGTTGCGCTCGCGACGCTTCGGCCCGAAGGGCTTCCGCTGTGCCGTCCTGCAATGAACTGCAGGCGCCCTTTGGTCTGCTTAGGAAAGAGGAAACATTGCAGGCCTGGCCGGAGGCGGTACGTCTCTCCTGCGTGGCCCCTCCTGTACATTCCCGAAACGGCGTTCCGTACGCGTCCTGGAGCGTCTCAAAGTCCTTTATCATTATTTATAATTAAACTAATTATAATTTTCAATCATGATTAAATGTTTTTATTATTTGAAATGTTTCAAATGACGTTATCGCTTGAGTAGAGTTCTTGAAATGTGCTATGGCCCTACAAGGTCTCGAATGTAGGCGAATAATAGACTTGGTAATGCAAAGTCTGAAGCTGAAGCACGGCTTTTTATTGGGCGTCGCGAATTTTACCAATGATAATAAGCGAGAGTTTGATATAGCTGAATATATATAACCATGTTTTCCTGTCTGAGAAGACATAACATATTTGCTCGACGACAACAGGCTGGTCACTATAAATGGTGAATGAAGATATTAAAAGATTCCGGTACCAAGGATTATATTTTTCTCAAATCTCAGGGTCCTCGTAAAATGGACATTCGAAGTCCTGTAAACGTCCCTGAAAAAGATAATGAAAAAATGTCTATGCATAAATGTCACGAACCCAGTGTCTATCTGAATTGTAATTTAATTTCGCGATATGCAGGAAGTCTAGGTAAATTACATCATAAGCACTCACGCTATCCTATAGGCCTTATAGGACACCTCACGCTATTCTATAGGGCTACTATGCAGAGGACATTCTCACGCTATTCTATAGGCCTTATAGAATCAGCCGGCTGATCTTATAGGGCTTATAGGAGACGTTCGCATGATTTTCCGCTAATGCAGGTCGTTTGTGCGCAAGTGCATCCAATGTGAAGATGGCGCTACCGTTCACGATCAGCACAACTGAACAGGTGTGTCCGTAAAGTGTTACCAGACGATGCAGCGGATAACACAGGAGAACGCCGACGCAAGATGAAAGGCGACGCGCCCATAGCAGCGACGGAAGAGATTTAAACATCCCCCAAAGGTAACATCACAACGCACGCACGCAACGCACCAGCACCCACGCACATGTAAGCTACACGCACGAGCCCACGCACGGAAACCTGCTTCTATACCGCCCACACTTATGATCCCGCACGGTATTCCTGACGCGGTAAACACAGTACACCCACACACACACACACGAACGGACAACATTGGAGGTTGGTAATGTAATCGTGGGGCAGAATTGGATGTCGTAGCGGCCATTAATAATAGGCTACGCAAGTGTGTGGCAGTATTATATGAAGACGAATGTTGATCTATATCACGTACTTTGCAGATTGCTAGCCTCGAGTTACAGATCCTAGAACGTAGCAATAGAAAGTTGGACTGGGCGGACAAGCTGTCGCATCCAGAATATATAATCAATCCGCTGTTGAAATTATAAGTAAAATATATATATATAATATGATATATATATATATATATAAGATGGAAAGAGAGATAAAGAGAGAGAGAGCGCGCGCGCGATAGAGAGAGAATAGAGAAGCGAGAGTGCGAGAGCGCTGAGAGAGCAGATAAGATGAGCGAGAC